AAACGAACAATATAGCTTTAAGCTATTAGGTGCTTATTTAGTCACACGGCAGATCGATTGCGTGAAACGTAAGGCCTGTTAATAGTAGAAATTTATCAATATAATTGACCAACCATCCAACTTTTGCTTTCTTCCATTGATTGACTGGATTATGAAGACCTCGAAATCTGGAGGGAAGCACAGAATATAATGGACAGCCCGGAATCAACTAGAAGATTCGGACTTCGCAAACGACTTAGTTCTTTTCTTCCATGGAGACGAGCAAATGCAGATGAAGACAACTAGTGAAGCAACAGCCTCCGCATCAGTAGGCCTCAACATACACAAGTGTAAAAACAAGAACCTTAAGCATAACACAGGGAACATTAACACAATCTCATTTGATGGAGAAGCTCTGGACCAGGTGGAATCTTTCAAGTACCTGGACAGCATCATTTGTGAACGTGTAGAATCGGATGCTGACGTAAGGGGAAGTATCACCAAAGCATGGGCTGCGTTTGACAATTGTTTATCCACTCACATCTTGTTAACACTAATTTTCTTTGACTGATTAGAATGCTCTTGCTTAACAAATACTTTAACATAAGAGAATTAGACTGAGTAGTCATACCTTAACTATTCCTTCGTGAATATTATCTGTTCTGCTTCTTGTCCTTTACTTTTCTCGTGTCATTTTTCAGCCCTCTTAAGATATACCACCGCAAACATATGAAACGGGTGACGTCGTCGTGCACAATTATCAAAGCCTCATATATTCCAGAGAAGAACAATGAGTTGTGTCGTTTAACATGTTGGAGCAGTCTCACATGAAGTAAGGGAAGTCATGGGTGGTACAAGGAAAGCGGTTTATTGGAAGAGAGTGTGCATATAGAGGGTGAAGTGTTGAGAATACTAATGACTATATCTTTTGTTGTCTATTTTTTTCTCTCTTTTCGTTTTTGTCCATCCGATCACGGCCATACAATCCTAGTGTAAAATTCCGAGTTAGTATGTTATAGGTTGTCTTAGTACAATGGCTAATCCAACAGAAAATAAGAAACATCAGTCGGAGTGGTGTGCGTAGATTGACTGACTTATTCTCAGTCATAAAGAACCTGATACATACAAAATGTTCTGCCCCCACAAACACGCGTGGGTTGAAGTCCTCGCCCTCAATATCAATGCTTGCTGCTCAGTAACTCCACTCTCCCTCCTTTTGTGATATTAGGCTCATTTAAGCTTATTTTTGGATATATGTCATACCTCACACAATCCTCTGTGTTTCACAACCTTGGGAAAACACTATCTCTATAAGTACTGTTTTACAAGCTTATCAGGAAGTTACAAGTTATGGACTGTGGGTAAGGCATCGATGCAGTGCTTTTGTTGACCATAGTATAAAGTATAGTTTGCCAACCAGAGTATAGGCATTAAGAAAGGTATAATGTAGGATAGTTGTTTATTAAAGCAGACGGAAAAGTATAGAAGTATATGAGTTGTAGATATGGTAACGAGTGGAGAAATAATATTAATAGCTAGTCAATATAGTGTACAGAAGAGTTAAAAGCTGATAGAGGATAAAAAGGAAGAAACCCACATTAACTTGCTGCTGATGTTATTTTGTGTTGGCCTAACCAGTTGGTGGGTAACAGGCTCCATAGATGCAAGATCACTGGTAGTAGGCAATCGATTGTGCGGTTCTCTTGACATTTTAGGGTGGTAGTGAGTGTCCCTTAGCGACCGAGTTTCGTTGAACAGTATCGATAGGTCCAGTGAGTTACCTGTCTACTTCAAGTGAAGAAATAGGATGGAAGAATTACTAATACAATTGCGAAGTAGGAAAAATAAGGCGGAATGAACTTGAAGTCCATTTTGGTCTAGACATGGAGTAACGCAAAACATTTCACGACATTACTGTAATGCTGCTGTTGCACATCGCTACGCAACCTTCATAGAGCGCAACAAATGTGGTACTGAAAATACGATTCTATATAAAACCATCTACATTCATATCTTTTAAAATATAAACCCAGCTCAGTAATTTACTACGGTGAAAATTGTATTTTTTGTAACAATTTAATCTTGCTCGTCAAACTGGTATGCCCCATGTAACAAACTTTCATTTGACAATAAATTATTATTATCTTGCCTGTAATTCCTTTCTGTAGCAGTATTTAGGTTACTGTTTTGCTGTTTTAAATCGTAATCATTTGTTGTCCTTTAACATTTTCATGATGATCACTCGGTTATAATAATGTATTTCTCTAAGGACAGGTACTCACCATTTTTACAGGCATTATCTAAAAATTACAACATTTGTTGGCTCACAGTATGCTTCCATGTAGGGTTGTTAAATAGATATAATCAGTAAAAGTGAACAGTACATTCATGCAGATGTCTTCGAGCGTTAATTATTAGGTTTATGTTATGTATTTGTACAGTCCTTGAAGTATTTTCCAATGTGACATGGCGTCCATGTTAAACACCAGATCCAAGCTCGGCATAATTGTGTTGAAATTGTGGTGGTGCAAACTATTTATGCAATACAACAAGTTTATAGTTATTATAAAGCCGACAAGTAGAACGCTTGGTGTAAACTATGACCTTGAGAAAACGCGTATACCAAGTTTGTTCCTGGCATCATAAGCTCCATAGATGTGCACTCAAAGCAAGATTCTGAAAAAAGGATAAATGAAAGAGCAGCGAAGCACCCTTAGCAAGGCGACCGAGGATATATTCTGAGATACTAGCTAATTTCGTAGATGTTTTACCAATCAAATGTCATGTTTGGAACAGGTTTTGGTCTCTGGTGGATGTTTTGCGTTTTTCTTCATTGTTAGATTCCCAGAACTCAGTTGATAAGTACCTTGTTTTTCTAATATTATTAAAAAATGTGAATTTCTTGTTTTCGTGCAAAAAGCACTCATTTTCAGCTTCATGTCATATTTCCTACTTGGGAGAGTCTTAAACGATCTTGGTTCGTTGTATCTTTTAGTATGCCGTTTTGTAGCGTTTCTCATGGACACTTTTACGCTGTTTATATACTTTTGGTTTGTACCACTTTCATTGCTCGAGTTTCTATCTGCTCTCAAAATATATTTTCCCTGTTTCGAACTTGAGCTTCTCTTTGGTTAGCGAGGCTGGGACGCATCATAATAGCTAGTTTATTGGTTTTTGGTCACAGAGTCTTTATTCCGTTAGCAGACTAGGAGAACTCGTAATCACGTCGAACGTAGCACTCATACTAGTCAGATAGACAATTGTTTTTCACAATTCTGACCCGTGAATTTTTTCATCCGCTGATTAAAAACTGGTTGTGGAAAGTTGCTTCAATCAAGAGGGCTTAGAGACCACAAATATTAGTGGCATAGTGATGGGTTATATATCTATAATTTTAAGTTTTTCTTGATGAGACGATAAACGAGGGGAACTGAATGTTAGTTGAATCGTTAAACATTCAACAATTTTCGAAAACAGCATGAGATGTAACCAGTATTGTTACTTTGACTTCGGGAATATAATATTGGTGTAAACCACTTTCAGGTTCAAAGCAGGTGTGATATTGCACAGACTGATAGTTCAAGAGAATGACTGTGTCATCAGATCGCAAGTCCGGTTGATTGTGCTGTAATGCGTTTGACGCAAGATCTGCCCTCTTACATATGGAATCTCATGTGCTGGGCAATGATAATCGCAAGAGAGCGATACAACATCTAACAGGTAACTAAATAAATCAACTTGTCAAACGGCGTTTTTCAGATTGATATATGAATGGTCAATATTCAACTCTGGGATGATATCCTGTAAACATATTCTCCAATTAATATGATGAAAGGGTACAAACGGCTGTTCATGTCACAATTTTATCGTTATTAGTCACGAACCACACCATCTTGCACAGAAAACATTTTGTCCTTTACAAGTAAACTTCATGTAAGCCTCTAAATTAATAATTTCAACAAATAAAATTGATACGTTTGGTTGGCATGTTACCTCCTATTGTTTCAATTACGATATACACGTGCACTGATCCATGAGACACAAGTCAAACGAACCGGCAGAGCCGGGCAGATAATAATAACAGTAATAAGTCCCAACCTCGGTAGCGATGGATAAACTTCAAAATTTATAGCACTAAAAATCTTTTTGCCATGATCGTTCAAAGATATTAATCACTTGTATTGTTCGTATGCGGTAGTCATTTTTGCATGTCACTAAAAAATCACTACTGATTAGTATGCATAATGGTGGCGCATCGTAATTGTGCTGAGACTAGTCAGAAAGACAGCAAATAATTTTCGAAAGCAATGGTGAAATTCGACTGATTTAGTTTCGTTATTTTGCAGTTTATTAGGTTTGATGCAGTTGATTTTTAATACGGCGTTGCAGGGGTCAGGAATACCAAGGATTCAACAAAACTTTTGTCCGAAATCCTTGGTATCCAGTGATTTAAAGGCTCATAGACTCAGAAGCAGAGAATGGTAGGATAAAATACCGTGATATGAGATGACAAAAGTTTTATAATCCAAGCTTACCGTAAGCTTTTGGCATGCTTTCTTCTCATGCGGTGAAGGATAATCGGCAGTTATAAATAAAGCAGGCGGTTTATGAAAAGATAACAGAGACCAGTTCATAGTGTATTTTGGGGTAATAAATTTTAGTGATAAAGCAAGAATTTGGATTTTCAGTAGTTGATTGATCTAATCCTTGCTATTTTAGGTGCAGAACTTACAAGAATACGTATGTTTACAGTACTTGGGAGCTGAAATTAAGAATGGTTGATATTTTGAACAAACATAACACACTAGAGGGTTCATATGCTGCATATGCTTGTAAACGAACAATAACAGCTTATAGTGGTATTCAGTTAGTTGTTTACACTGTGCAAATAATATCGCGATGACGAGTAATTATATGCTATGTAATTTTACGTTGCTCTTCATAGGATTTATTCAACAAGGAAAAATAATAAATGAATGGGTTAATTTTTCTCAACGTCATAAATATCGTAACTGTTTAATGCAACTGTCAAGGTCGTGTTTTCGGCATTAGACATTGTTCTGTACGGTAAGGCGGGATTTGTCTGGAGGATTAAGTGTGGCTATTTGTTGTGTGTTTTCGTCGTTATATAATACAAGGGAGATCTATCAGTTGACTATGTATCTAGTTAAAGAGCTGCACATTTTGTGTGTTGGTCAGACGCAAAAGACTTTTTTCAAAGAGGTGTTTTCACCTTATGAGTGAATTTCTTTCGGGGATTCAGTCAGTCAGTCAGTCAGTTACAACGAAGAACCATGCACTTATGTGCATCGGTCCAGGTTGCCATACCGCATCAGCACAACAAGATGAACACCGGATTCATAACAGTGGTTAGGTAAAAGGTGGTAATATATAAGAGAAAGATTGCATATAGAGATATAGTACAAGAAGAAAGAATTGGTTAGTAGAAAGAAAGATATGAAGCGCTTTTAATCTCTTAGTTTAAGGGAAGAAACCGAGTGTATACACCTACGCCATTGTGATCGATTCTGAGCCATGTCACCAAGAGTCTCCAACCATTGGTTACGATAGTCACGCGGACCCCAACCAAGTAGTCTGCATCTACCAACATGGCTCAGACTAGAGGTTAGTGCCTTCAAGCACTGATGCCACGTTTTGGTTTGGCCGCCCCTAACTTTCTTCCAACCATCCCCAACACCGGATAGCATTGCACGTCGTGGTAATCGGTGTTCAGGCATACGTAACACGTGGCCCAACCATCTCAGTCGATGAAGATTCATAACCTCATCAACTGATTTACCATCCTTTCCTAATACCCTGCGTCTAACCTCACTATTACTTAACCGATTATCCCAGCAGACGCCAGCAATATTTCTTAGGCATCTGTGGTCAAATACTAGTAGCTTACGAGTGTCTTCTATTCTTAATGGCCATGTTTCGCTACCGTAAAGTAAAACAGAACGGACTGCCGCGCAGTATACTCGTCCTTTTATTGATAGACGGATATCTCGCCTTCGCCACAGGTGACGTAAGTTGGCAAAAGCCAAACGAGCTTTTCGAATCCGTGCTGAGATTTCGTCCAATACCAACCCATTAGGGCTGATCAGACTTCCAAGATAAGTGAAGTTGTCAACGCGTTCGACTACTTCACTCCCTATCCTTAGTTCAGGTGTTAACGCAGACCAGTCCTGAAGCAACAACTTGCATTTCGAGGGAGAGAAGCGCATTCCAAACATTCTGGCATTGTTGCTCAGTGCTACCAGAAGACTTTGCATTTTGCCAGCGTCTTCACCAAACAGGACTATGTCATCTGCGTATTCTAAGTCGATAAGTGGACCTCCTGGGATTATGTGTTACCTTATCTTACATGCTATCGTTTTCACCTTTCCTGGTAGGAGTAACCCCTCAAAACCTCATTCACGTATGACAGTTGCGTTCTATGCAGATCTTGAATGTCGTTTCTATATGTAAGGTACATTCTTACTACTTCAAACACTGGCAGTTTATATGAATCAGTATGGTACGAAATTAGGTATTTCTAGTATCTCCCCGAACTCATCACTTGAGTTGCTTGGTACTATAACCCAATTAACTCTCGTCTCTTTATGTGTAGGTAGTGCTCGAAAAAATTCTGGTTGACTAATGGCAAGCTCATTTTATTTGCGATACTACGTTGGTCATAAGGGCAAGTTTGGACATGAATTTCTTGAGTTCGAGTTCAGACCTGAAGGTACAGTTTGCAAACTTCAAAAATATTTTTAGGCAAGCTTAGATATGCTAACAACTCTAATTATAAAAATGACACAATGATTCGGAAAGAGGTACCATTACTTTATAATTCAAATGATACTCCAGGCGTACGTAAGCCCTTCTGTAATGGAAGAACTGAAGAGAATCGTGTTGGAGAGCGATATTATGTCGGAAGATGATGCTTCGTGGCCAGTACCTGACAGAGTTGGACGTCAAGAGCTAGAAATTGTTTGTGGCGATGAACACATATCTTTCACAACCTCAAAAATAGGATCTTTGATTGACATTACGAATAGCAAGTGAGTGACTCATTTAATCTAATTTTAAACAAAGGGATCCTGAAGGATTAAGAACATATTACTACCTGGTTCAGGACCTGAAGTGTCTGGTGTTCTCGCTAATTGGATTGCACTTCAAAATAAAGCCAATATAATACGTTCCGTTTCTTAGTATTTTTTCTGCTTCAGCTTATCTTTTTGGGCAACTAGGAGCAAGCCACCAACAATTTGAACAAAAATGATACCCGGTTGGATGTACAGTATTATTAAAATTTCAGGCAACGTAAAGATGAACCTATAACTTCAATTTTGTGTCTTAGGTTGAAACATCCCATAATTTTAGTATCAATACGTGGCTTTCGACACTGTTTTGATAAGTTCTAGTTTATGAAGTTCGTTAGTTGGGTTTTATGTCAGTTATTCATCTACAACTCAGGACCAAACACATATATGCGTCGGTCCAAATTGTCATACCTCATTAGCACAACAAGATCAGCACCGAATTCATAGCAGTTACTCCAATAATGCAAAAAAGATTGCATGTAAGGATATAATCGAGACAGAAAGAAGTATTTGGTAGAATGAAGGGCATAAAGTAATTTTAATCTCACGGTTTAAGGGAAGACAAAAAGTGCATACATCTACGCCACTGTGATCGATCCTGTGCCATGTCACCCATTTTCCAACCACTGGTTATGGTAGTCGAGCTGACCCGAAACAAGTAGTCTGCATCTAACTACATGGCTCATACCATAAGTTAATGAATTTATGGACGTCCCACGATTTACTTTGACCGCAACTGAATTCCATCAGTCTGAGTCGAGTGTCCAAATTTATGAAATATATGTACAAAAATCTATGAAAAGTGTTAATTTGACTATCTCAGTGTGATTAGCAATATCTTTGCAATTTCACTTAAGGCTATGCAAAAACCTATTATGGGATTTTAATGTGGTTTCTCGGCTGCACACATTTTGATTCAAATACCATGGATATTACAATATATCGTATTGGTAATAGCTGCGTTTGCAGAAAGCCACCAATATACTTGAGCCAGGTGTCACTGGCCATCGTAACTTTGTTAGAATGACAAGGTGTTTTCAGTAGAATTAGTTTAGACATGTTCGTTTCTGAAGCTCTACTAAATACCCCAGTACGCTTTAGAGATGATAGAGATTTATTGGTCAGGTTGATGGTTTTTGTGAAGTTTCGTTATCAGAAGACTGGACTCCAATGCACCCACTGAAAGACTGATCTTTCCTAAGTATACTTGAGGAATTTAGCATCGGTGAAATCTAAGATGTGAATAGACACACCTTGTGACGTTGCAGTAGGTGCGTGTTTGTATCCTGAAAGGCTGGTTTGATATTAGGACTCGATGAGATTTACTTATGCCTGTCACTCGTAGTGTGGCGCAGGCTGTCCACCGACATTCTCCATCCAATCCTGTCCTAGTCAATCCTTTTCATTTGCTATTCATCATTTTCATGTCTGTTTCTATTTCCCGAAGTGATGTGTTCATTGACCTTCTTCGTTTTCGTTTCTCTTCACGACCCCAAGTTAGCGCTCTACACGTTCACCAACGATGCTATCCAGGTACGCGAAATATCCCACCTGGTCCAGAGCTTCTCCATCAAATGAGAATGTGTCGATGTTCCATGTGTTGTGCTTGGGGTTCTTGTTCTTACACTTGTGTATGTTGAGGCCTACTGTTGCGGAGGATGCTGCTACATTGTTTGTCTTTACCTATCTTGGTTGACTCCGGTCCGCACCTGGGATGCATCGGTTAGCTGTAGTGTTGCGATTTGATCTGTGCATGACCGATCTTTACGGAATCCGGCTTATTGGTCTTGAAGCTGGGAGTCTACTGAATCTTTATCCAGTTTAGAAGCACTTTCGAAAGTTGTTTCTGGTATTGATGGTAGTGTGATTGCTCTATATTTCTCACATTTACCTAGATCTCGTTTCTTTGGTGTTGATGGGTTGCCCTTGGCTTCAGTCCATCGGAACTTGTTCTTTCTCCCTAATTTTCTTGAATAGGACGTGAAGCATACTTGCAGTTACTTCTGTCTGATTTAAGTGCTTCAGCTGGTATATTGTCAGGTTCTGCTGCTTTCTCACTCTTGGTTTGTCTGACAGCTATGCTGACTTAGGAAGATTGGTGTGTGCTGCTTCAATGGAGCTGGTTTATTCAAAAGTTCCTTAAAGTGTTGCACCCATCTGTTCCTTTGTCATTGAATCTCGGTGATTAATTTGCCTTCTTTTTCCTTGACTGTTCTCTGGTTTACTATATTCTCCCGCTGTTTTCTTCGTTGTTTCATATTTCCTTCCGTTGCAACTTTTTCCACTGTCGTTGATAAATGTTTCACATATTTCTGCTCTAATGCTCATCTACACTTGCTTGTTTGCTTATGTTTTCACCTTTTATCTTGACTTTCTCTGTCCTTATTCGATTGTTCTCATTTGCAGTCTTCTTGTTCTTTCCTTTTTGATTTTTTTCAGGGTTTCGATAGAGAATCATTCCGTATGATCCTTCTTACAGCCTGGCACCTGACACGTCGAAGTTAGAGCTTCTCTGGTCCCTTTCGAATTATTCTCCGCAGTGTCTGTCATTGAAAGGCGTACCCCAGAAGTACATAAACCTTGTAAAGGCTCTTTACTCGAAAACTACTAGTCGAGTCAGAGCTTATGGCGAACTGTCATCTAGTTTTGCAACCTCAAGTGGTGTCCGTCAAGGATGTCCACTCTCCCCATTTTTGTTTAACTTCATCATAGATCTACTGATGGAAATAACTTTCTCGTCGACTGAGTTCTCGGGTATTGATCTCTTTCCAAGACGTCCACTTATCGACTTAGAATACGCTGATGACATAGTCCTGTTTGGTGAAGACGCTGACAAAATGCAGAGTCTTCTGGTAGCACTGAGCAACAATGCCAGGGTGTTTGAAATGCGCTTCTCTCCCTCTAAATGCAAGTTGTTGCTTCAGGACTGGTCTGCGTTAACACCTGAACTAAGGATAGGGAGTGAAGTAGTCGAACGCGTTGACAACTTCACTTATCTTGGAAGTCTAATCAGCCCTAATGGGTTGGTATCGGACGAAATCTCAGCACGGATTCGAAAAGCTCGTTTGGCTTTTGCCAACTTACGTCACCTGTGGCGAAGGCGAGATATCCGTCTATCAATAAAAGAACGAGTATACTGCGCGGCAGTCCGTTCAGTCTTACTTTACGGCAGCGAAACATGGCCTTTAAGAGTAGAAGACACTCGTAAGCTACTAGTATTTGGCCACAGTTGCCTTAGAAATAATGCTGGCGTCTGCTGGGATCACCGGGTAAGTAATAGTGAGGTTAGACTCAGGGTATTAGGAAATGATGGTAAATCAGTTGATGAGGTTGTTAATCTTCATCGACTGAGATGGTTGGGCCACGTGTTACGTATGCCTGAACACCGATTACCACGACGTGCAATGCTGTCCGGTATTGGAAATGGTTGGAAGAAAGTTAGGGGCTGCCGAACCGAAACATGGCATCAGTGCTTGAAGTCACTAACTTCTAGTCTGAGCCATGTTGGTAGATGCAGACTACTTGGTTGGGGTCCGCGTGACTATCGTAACCAATGGTTGGAGACTCTTGGTGACATGGCTCAGAATCGATCACAATGGCGTCGGTGTATACACTCCCTGTCTTCCCTTAAACTATGAGATTAAAATCGCTTCATATCTTTCTTTCTACGAACCAATTCTTTCTTCTTGTACTATATCTCTATATGCAATCTTCCTCTTATATATTACCACCTTTTACCTAACCACTGTTATGAATCCGGTGTTCATCTTGTGTTGATGCGGTATGGCAACCTGGACCGATGCACATATGTGCCTGGTCCTACGTTGTAGCTGACTGACTGATTCTCCGTAGTAGTTTCTTCTGAATAGCATTTATTTCTTCCCCCTTTTTCTTGAAAAATGCTTTTATGGTCCTGGCTCCATTAGATTCCCACTCTATAAATGCATTTCGTGCTTCTTTAGACAGCCTAGGAACAACTCCCTGGTTGTGTGGAGCATTTTTTCTTCGTGACCTGAGAACAGCAGCATCCCTCTCGTATCTAAACTTTTCCGTCCAGCTTGGGTACAATGGGTTTTGCTGACTCCGCATACTGCCAAGTTGCATCTCATTTCCGTTGCTAATTAACTGGTCTTCCGCGTTTTTCGGACGTTCCATATACCTATAAAAATTGTTGCTCTGATTGTTAGAAGGGGCATCGGCCTCGTGAGTTCCGAGTAATCTTGGCTTTTATCATGCGGCGTCATAAATTTTCCTTCAACTCAGAGGGCATAGTTCAATGTGCTTGGGGTTGTCGGCCTCACGCCCGAACCTCCTCTACCCGGGCTTGGGACCGGCAGTAACTTTAGAAGAGATACAGGCGTTTACTCTGTGATAGGTGGCGTAATATCTCAAGAATGCATCGTTTCTATCCCCAAGCTCCTAATTCGTACTAAGTTGTTGGTGATCCCACAGTTGTAGTTTGTCAGAGTTCGTACTCGTTTCCCTAATGAATCAGGCCCTATTCGCTTTTCTACGGGTGAATCTGTTTTCAGATGTTAGTGTTCCAGTGGTTAGGTACTCTGGTTACTTTCTTAAAACGATATCCATGGATTTCACGTCAAAGTAGCTCCGAGGGTTTTTGTAGACCATCAGCAAAACAAGGAAGGACAACACTCAACCAGACATATTCCTTGATGACAAACTACATTAGAGCTAATCTCACGGTAATTAGATCACATACTGTTGAAACTGAACGATTTAATCCTGCGTAGTGAAGCTATACCCTCTTGCAGCACCGTACTTTATTTATAAAAGCAGCGTCACAGGTGCTTTAGAAGCGATATAAGATTCTAGTAAACCAGTTTCTTCTTATGACGTGTAGAATGATTGGCGTCCATCTATTAAGAACGTGTCACAAATTGGAATGAACACTTCTAAGTACAAAACACATGCCGACAGAATCGACACAGAAACTCAATTTGAGAATTTATTTAATCAAACTAAAGAGCTGCACCCAGTTAGTGAGGAAAAGAAAGGCTGGCTTAAATCTAAACTAGTCGATATCGCAAACCAATATCTTGTTTCACCCACACCACAGTCTAAGCTTCTATCCAAAGACCACCAAATAGCATTACGAAATATTAAACGAAATGACGATATAATGATATTACGGTCAGACAAAGGCTCAAGTGTTGTTCTAATGGACAAAACAGATTATGTCTCTAAGATGAAGTCCATCTTGAACGACCATATGAGATTCAAGTTAGAAAAA